AATAACAAAGAGTTTGATTACATATCTATATATATCTATATACATAAACTATACCAAATGTTGATACCTAATTACTACAGAGAAAAGAAAAAAATAATGAAAACAGAATACAATAAATCATTGAGTAATCTTTATGCAGAAAACAAGTTCATAAGTAAATGAAATGATTTCATTCGTTCACAATAAATGACCTCAATTTCAAAATGTTCCATAAGTGCTGAAATATTGATTTTGAAGTAGGAGGGGTTATATTGTTGAGCGCATCTACGAAGAGTTCAGGGCTGGTGAAAAAATCAAGGTTTGTTGGTCTCATTGAAGAATAAATTGGGCATTCAAATAACATATGGAGGATTGTTTCGGGGCAGGCGTCATTACATATTGTACAAATTTCGTTAGGATTTATTTTGTATGCGTAGCCTTTGAAGTTGAATTTGATTATGTACTTATTGCTCAATCGAACCTGGGCTAGTATGCGAGATATATGAACAGGCAAATTAAGATTTAGGTAAGGCTGGCTACCAGGACTTATTGTTAAATGAGTATAAAACGTTAGATAGGTAGATCGTGCCTGTAGAGCGAGGTCTTCTTGTATTAGTTTATTCTCGAACGTTTGTAGGAGTAAATTCCTTTTTCTCTTAATGAGAGCACCATCAATTGGTCCCCAATCTTCAGTGTATCCAGCATAGATAAGATATTCTCTCAATTGGCTCATCCAGTTATATTTCGGTTCGTTGTTATCCTGTAATGATATGAGGCGTAGTAAAGCTATTTTTGGCAAACGATTGTCATTCATTTGAAATATTTTAATGAGCCAATTAAGACTATTCTTGAATATGCAGTAAGATATCTTCACTCTTCCAGTTTCCAACCTCACAGCAAAATCCGGTGTATTCTTTGGAAGTAGAAGGATTCTTTTCAAAAAAGTGATCTGAATTCTTTCGAGAATATCAACGTAACGCAAACCCCATACTGGAAGACAATTTGTTACTATACTAGTTATAAGGGCGTCAAATAAATACATTCGTGAAGCCCATGAGTTCATTTTTGCTCTGGACATTATTGGAATAATTGATCCACTTGCCTGTTTGGCTTTGTCTGAAGTTATTTTGGCCATTTCGCGGTACATCAAAGAAGACGAGAAGGTTACACCGAGATACGTAAAATGATTTATTACTTCAATTTTTTCATTATCAATGCGGAAGTTATATTCATTGGTTTTTTTCGTGCTGTTCCTAGCAAAAACGACAATTTTTGTTTTTGATGTATTTATGGTGAGTTGGTTTTGAGCAACATATTCTTCCAAACATTTGAGTTTTCTCTGGAGATCAACCTCTGTGTCAGCAATGATAGCGACGTCGTCAGCATATGACAGCATTATTATATCCTTCTTGTTATCAATATTTATGCCCCTCACACCACTGTTGATAAAATAGCTTTCAATATCTGATAAAAATAAGGAAAATAATAATGGGCTTAGAGTTTCTCCCTGGAGTACTCCCGTGGTAATTTCAATTGGTTGGGTCATGTTGTTCGAGCCCAATACTCTCATGGATGCTTTGTCGTATATACTCTTTGCAATAGAGATTATTCTAACACTCATACCCAACTCATACAATTTTTTCCATAGTAGTTCATGATTGAGCGAGTCGAATGCCCTCTTAAAGTCTACAAAAGCAACGAATATTTTTCGCTTTCTGAGTCTCAGGTGTAGTTGTATTATGGCGTTCAGAGTAAATACATTGTCAATACAACCTCTCGTCTTCCTGAAACCCGATTGTGATTCCGGTAGTATATAGTTCTCTTCAGCCCAGTCAGAAAGTCTAATCTTTAAGATATGTGTGAAAATTTTTTCTAAACAGTTTATAAGAGCAATGCCGCGATAATTATTGGGATCATCTGCAGAGTATTTTTTGTGCAGCATTTTCATGACAATTTCACTCCAATTTTGTGGAATTTCAAGTTTCTCCATTATTTGATTGAAGAGACATGTAATGAACAGGATCCAGTTATTTGGTAAATTTTTGAAAAATTCGTATGGGATTCCGTCGAACCCTGGTGTTTTGTTATTTCCGCACAGATTGAGTACAAAATAAACCTCCTCCGAGGTAATTGGGGAGTCAAGTATTGGGTGGCCTACTCCGAAGAAAATGATGTTATCTGTTATCCTTGGGGGATACATTTGAGCGTAAAACTGCTCCCATACATCCGCGGGAAGATTGAAGTTATTTTTGTTTCCACGAAATATTTTTATGGTGGACCAGAAAGTTACTGGGTTTCTGCAGTTAGCGAGAGTCTGCGTGATTTGTCTCCAGTGATTCTGCTTTTTATTTTTAATGATTGTTTTATAATGTTTTTTTGCTGTGAGAAATGTCGTTCTGTGTGAGTCTGAAAAATTATTCTGCCTACAAACTTTCAGAGAATCTTTCATCTTACGTTTTGCCGCTTTACATTCATGGTCGTACCACACAGCGTTTGCTTTTTTGGGGAACGTGTTACGATGGTTAGGATGGTTGAGAGTATTGACATTGAGGGTGGTGGCTGTTGCAATTATGGTTTTGCACAACACAGTATAAGATTCTTGGACATTCGTTAAAAGCGCTATATTAGTTGAGTTCTGCATTAGCACTTTATACTGCAGTATTATGTCATTGGACCATTTCAAGGAGGCGGTTTGATTAGGAGAGTATTGAGTATGTGTTGGGTGTGAATTGAAACTATAATTCAGTGAGACAAGGATGGCAAAATGATGCGAAATTGTATAATCGTTGAGTACTAAGAGGTCATGAATTGCATTCAGGTTCGGATTGTTTACCCAAATTAAGTCGATCACACTTTTACCAATATCGTTAACATGAGTGTATTGAGCAGGAGTGTCTGAGATTGTTCGACCATTCAAAAGGCTGAACGAATTCTCGAGCATGAATTCAACAATATTACGCCCCCTAGTGTTACATACTTGATCCAGGCTATACCTTCTTTCTACCAGGTTTGTATCCGTTAGTAATTCAGCAGGAATAGTCCCTACTTGCCCCACCCTGCAGTTGAAATCGCCCATAAGTACAATGGGTGTATCAGGAGATGCTTCAACAATATCTACAAGGACAGCTTGAAAAGAGTCGAGAATTACCGGAAGGTCCAGAGATGGTTTAAAGTAAATTGTGCAAATGATTAAAGATTTGTCTTGACAGCTCAAGCGGCAGATAAGCCAATATGGAGATTTGTCTAATAATAGTGCGTTGAAATATTTTTTATAAAAAATACTAATGCCACCACTGGCTCTGCCCATTGAGTTCTCTTTTATTGCAGGTGAACTAAATACATTATAGCTAGACATAAAATATGGCGAATCAGAAAGTTCCGTTTGCAGCCAGGTCTCAACAATGCAGACAACATCAAATGATTCAAAATTTTCGACATCGCGAGCATAAATTGATAGGTTAGAGTATCCCTCGCAGTTCAAGAAAAACAGGGTTGGTCTTTGCTATTTCTGAGTGGATGGTAATAAACATGGTATTTTCAATCCAGCGTCTCTTTGTGGTGACATTTCTTCATCTCGGTTTCGTTTTAAGTTTTCTGAATTGACAATTTTTGGTAAATTGTTGATATATTTTATTTTCAGTCCTTGCTCCCCATTTTCAGTTCTAGTCTTGAGCTCTGTTTTCAGTTCATTGAAGGATTTTATTTGGGCTGGTGTTTTATCCGGTTTGATATACACGTTGGGAACTCGATATTGACTCAACTTCGATTTATTCTGCAAAATTATCAAAGCATCTGAAGATGAGTTGAACGTTACTCGTAGCGGGCGGGGTTTTCCATCCGAACGTTGTCTCCCTAGCCTTGAGAGACCCGCGATGCTGATATTCCTACCCGTAGCTGCTAAATTGATCAAATTCTGTGATTCTGCGGTGTCGTCCTGTAATTCTGGCAAACCCATAATCAGCACATTCTTTTCGCGTTTAAGTCTCTCCGATATTTCAATCACAACATTTTCTGATGGTCCAGTTACTTTGCTCTCTAGTTCGGATATTTTTGTGTGCATTTTTTGATTTTCTTTTCGTAGTTCAGAGATATCGTTAACACACGTATCGATTGTCTGGGACTGCGATGCTACGAGCTCAGTTAAAAAATTAATTTGTGAATTGCAGTTCGCAATCGTTTGGTTGAGTTGTGTGAACTGAGCCATTATTGCATCGAAATGTACCGTGCTAACATCGGAGTGTGAGCCACCCGGTTTAGCGATACACTGGTAGCATTTCCAAGTATCACGCGAAGTGACGTCCATATCATTGGGCTGCGGACGAGCACATACTCCGTGCCATTTCACGTGGCATACTGAGCAGATTAGTGAACTGCTGTCGTTTTTAGGAATCGTTTTTCTACATGCATGACATTCAGGCATTTTGATACCAATAATGCTCTCCAAGTTTCTTGTTTATATTCGTTTCAGTTGTATGTTTGGTTGGATAATATACGAGACAAATTCTTACTCATATGATTGTTGATCTCAAAAAAGCACTGCACTAGTAGTATTAATTAGTATCGCACATTAAATATAGATAAAAGAAAGACAGGGTCGATATACAGCAAGACAAGCGGTGTGTACTCGACGACGACTCGAACCAAACTCAATTGAGAAGCAAAAGCTATAAGAAGTTTTATATATATATATGTATATAGTTATGCAATGTCAGTTGAACAGATTATCACACGAATGTCGAGCCGCGCTGCCGCACTCTTTGAACTTTCAGAGGGACCGACGGCTTGCGGTGATGTGTTTTTCCAACTGACTTTGTCTGAACTATACAACGTTGACTTAGGATTGTGTATTGATGCAAGTAATGATACAATTATGATTTCGAGTTCAATTCGAACATAACATTTTTGTTGCTTGTCCTTCCATAAAAACTTCAAATTCATTATTCATCTGTTGAACTTCTTATTGCTTGCCATTTCTTTCCAATGTGCCCAGATAGAGAAACTGAGGTTGCTTATATCCGCAGGTTGAAATGATATCGTCAACGGAGTTGCTCGTATTCGTATTGTTGGTGGACAGTGCATTTTGCGCGATCGGTCTGAGATGCGACATGATTCCAGAAGGTGTCACTTCTCCTCGATACAAAGAAGACCTCGGCCGATACAAGATTGATATATCCGGTGATCCAGATTCGTACGTGCCCGGAGAACAATACACAGGTACTACACAAAATGAATAGGTCAGTGTCATTCATAAAGTCGGAATCATATAGGATAGCTTTTTGATGAAAATCTATTTCGAAATTCAACTTGGATTGAGTTTTGCTTTGGAAAAAAATAAAAAATGGACTACTCGATCAGGATCACGTATCTCCCGCTACACATCTCTTCAAATTAATCGCTGAAACTAGGCTTATTTGTTTGGATTTCAGAAAAATTTACAAAGAAAAGTTGTTTTTATTTCAATTCACATATTTGTTCCGAATTTGAATGTTCTATTACAACTTTAGGTTTTTGGTATTATTCTAATTTCTTCAAAATGCCTGTAATGATAAAAGAATTTAACACAACAATTGTTCCTCCCATGGCAGTCCCCACGAGATCAACCCGTCGAATTGGGGATTCGCACCCCTTCGTGGTCACTTTGGAGACATGTAGAATATTTTTTTCCAAAGACTCGTTCATCTAACTAACAGCGAGGCTCTACACATTGCCAACGAAGGTGTTGCCCGAGGCATATAACCTCCAGAAATTTGGGAAGAACACCAATTCCTACCTTATTTCCCTTGGTTTTCACGATGTTCTCTGAACATAACAGGATATCTTTTTTCGTGGGAAACAGAACATAAAAAAAAACAACTTTTAATCACTAATTATCGAAAGAAATTAGATTTTCATCAGAAAATCATAATCCACGCTCAAAGTTTCTGTTATGTTTGATGCAGAGTTGAAGTATCAACAACAACTTTTTTTCGTATTTTTTTTTTATTCGAACAAATAAGCCTATTCTTAGCATTCAATTTGAGAAAAATTTAATGTAATGTCCGACCGAGTAGACCATTCACCATATTTTTTGAAGAAATACTCAACGAGCAGGTCGAATTTCTCATATCATGATGCTAACTCAATGAAGGATTTCTATTGAACTCGTATATGAATGTTGAGTATCATCCTTATTCGAAATCAAAATATCAATTGGTTATAAGATTATTGAAATTTCACCATATAGCGTGGTTTGAACTCAGCATGGCTCAAAATAAACTCCTTAGATGATAGTGATAAATATTTTATGTTTTTGAAAAACACGATAGGAAATGGGTAAAACCGTTTTATCGCGCGGTAAATATTTCGATACATAACATTTTGTTGTTGAAGCTCGTGTCGATGATTTTACTCGATTTGTTGCCTATATTGAGAGTTATTTCCATTTCAACAAAACAGCAAACACTGACTACTGATGACCAATTCATGATAAAACCTTACTCAGGCTACTATAGAGTGAACTCATTGATGTTCTTGCTATTAGTCGACCAATATGATCGATATCAATTTCACACTATTCAGTTGTTAGATGTCCGGATCACAAAACAGTGTAAAGCGTCACTCCGAGTTGATCATGTGTCGAAACGTGACGATTAGATAAGAAAATATATTCTGGCAACACGGATTCCTCATTCATTATTCCAGAATTGTTCGGATTTTCTTTCCTCGTTTCTATATAAAATAAAAATATTCGCTTTTCAGAAACGAGGAGAGAAAATCTCGAAAAATCTGAGATAATGAATACACAACCTCCTCGACAGTGTTTGAGATTCCTTATCCTTGTTGAAAGATTTAAACATTTTTCATAGTTTTCATAAGAAGTGAAGGAAGTTCTAACGACCAACAACATAAGTTCACTCACTTCATACTGTCTATCGTGAACGAAAAATTCGAGCAGGACATCGAATCTGAATCATCTGTGATTGGAGCTCTGCAACTCTATGGCGACAGTTTCACCAAGTTCAGCGACAGCTGCCAGAATGCCGTCGTTCAAGCAGATTCTCAGCCGAAAACAGAAATTCAGGTCAGTCATCTTCGAACTCAGCTGATGCAGTACTTCAGTAGTGTACCTATGCCGCTTCTAGACCATTTTATCCCCACCTCTTTCATGGTAAATGAACTAGTGCGACGAGTGCCTAAAGTTTCCGAACCATTCCCAAACCGCATTGCCAGATTGGTCACAGTGAATCACGTGGTACAATATGGACGCATGCGCATTCGCTCGTAGAAAAACAGCATAGTTCGAATTATCAAGGAGCCCCTCGGGGTCTCGAGAGAAAATAATAACATCCTTGAAAGCCTAAATCACTACACAATTCATCACAGTGGGCTGACGCCATGCTATTAGTGGACCATAATAAAACTCCCTGACCAAACTGAGCCTCCACAATTTTATCACGAAAAATAAGCATAAAAAAGAACGAATCTAAATTTTTTTTTTAAGTTCTGGCTCCCACGAGAAGGGATATCCTGTAATGTTCAGAGAACATCGTGAGAACCAAGGGAAATAAGTTAACAATTGATCTCATGTGATGTCTTCAAAGGTATGGTTACTCCTGACAAGCTTATGTTGGGCACAGTGCGAGATCGGCTTTTCTAGAGGAAGAGCATGCTTCTGTTTTGTTTGCATCGAAATCTACAAAGTTATTGAATACCCATTCGAGAATTGTTGCCAAGTCCATATATTTAGTTGTCAACATTTCTTCCTCGTTCGTTTCTGATTTGCCTGGCTGGTATTGGAGCCCTGGAAGAGAAGGTGGTATGGAAGGTACTATCATCCGCGAAGCTATGTACTGGACGTAAGATTGCTTCCAACAAATAGTTGGTATGAAGTAGAAATAGTGTTGGTGCTAGAATTGATCCTTGCGGAACACCAGATTTATGATAAGCGAGTCAGATGAAACTTCGTCGACCACTTTGTGGAGAAACCTGTTCGAGAGAAAACTAGCTAGCAGAGAACATAGCAGGGGAGGCAAGCCATAAGATGGAAGCTTGGCGAGGAGTCCGTGGTGTCAGACTCGATCGAATGCCTTGGAGATATCAAGTTCCATGGCTAAGGTTTCACCATATTCTTCAATAGATTGCTGCCATATATGTGGAAAGAAAGCAAGCAGGTCACCAGTTGATCTCTGATGACGGAAGCCATATTGCCTGTCGTGGATAATACCTGAAAGTTCCAGGTACTTCATGAGCTCGATGTTGATAGCTTCCTCTATGATTTTTGAAATATCACGTGATGGGAATGGTTTGGAAGATTCAGGCATCGGATTTCCCTAGTGCGTAGCCTGTCTAATAAAACATAGCAAACTAAAATTCACGCGTGTTCCACGTCACTGTCGTTATAAAAAAGAATCAAATTGGCAAGGTATAATATTGTCTTTTCACGGAAAAATACTTATTCATGTATCAAGGACATCACAAGTACCTTAATTACTGATGGCATTCAGAGCAATTGCCTGAGGTTATTGAGGCTCATTAACTCCAGTGGTACATAGATCTTTTTATTTCTGATCGATATCAACATCAATTCATAATTTCTGTCCACGTCTGGTATGATGAATATCAATTTTTCATAGAACCAGGACAAAAATGATATCAATAAAATTTCGTTTGCAGAATATACAGGGTGGGCCACCAGTAACGCCTCGATCTCTAGAAGGCAAACCACTTATCTTCTTGGAATTCTTCCTCTCTAGGAAGTTGCATGTCAATATAGGCTACCATTTAAAATTATTTCGAAACATACAGGGTGTCCCCAAAAACCATAACACACTGAAGTTAAACTTTTTTCTATCGAACACCCTATATATTATTTCATTTTGAGATTCTCCCTGATGAGCTGATTTCAACGACTCATCATATTTGGGGTCTAGCAGTTATAATTACTGAAATATAGGGTGTGAAAAATCGAGATTTTCCAAGTTCAAGAATTTTTTTTGTCGAAACTATTCATAATTGGTCAAAACGGCTCACATGTCCCTATCTCAACTTTTGATTAACTCTCTGCTGATATTTAATTGGGACATATACCGGGTGATCAAGATTCTGAATTCTGCACCACCCTGTATTTGTTCCAATTAAATGTCAGTAGATAGTTGATCAAAGGTTGAGATAAGGACATGTGAGCTGTTTTGACCAACTATGAATGGTTTAGACACAAAAAATTCTTGAACTTGGAAAATCTCGATTTCTCACACCCTTTATCTCAGTAATTATAACTGCTAGACCCCAAGTATGATGGGTCGTTGAAATCAGCTCATTAGGGAGAATCTCCAAATGAAATAATATATAGGGTGTTCGATAGAAAAAAGTCCAACTTCAGTGTTTTATGGTTTTTGGGGACACCCTGTATGTTTCGAAATAATTTTGAATGGTAGCCTATGTATATGGAAGAATTCCAAGAAGATAAGTGGTTAGCCTTCTAGAGACCGAGGCGTTACTGGTGGCCCACCCTGTATATTCCCAAAGACTCGTTCATCCAACGAATAGCGAGGATCTGGAACACATTGCCAAGGGAGGTGTTCCCCGAGGCAGTTAACCTCCAGGAATTCAAGAACAACTCCAATTCCTACCTCATTTCCTCTGATTTTCACGATGTTCTCTTTACTTGTTCTCATTACAGGATATCCCTTTTGGTGGAAACCAGAACATAAAAAAACACATTTCGTATTTTATTTTCAGTTGTTAAAGAGGAAATGGGAATCATAGAATCTTTATAATGTCCCAAGGGAGATATGAACATCTTCATTGATAACGTGTATAAGAATGACTATATATATAAGCTTATTATATCCTGGTCAGAAATAAATATTCATTTATCATACTAGGGCAAAAAGTATCAGATTACAGCTCGAGGTTGTGTTGACTTCCGACGCGTAGCAGAGGGATTCAGAAAATCGAGAAGTAAAATCTAATAGTTTCTGGAATCCGTGTATTGAAAACATGCATCTTGTTGACAACCCATGGTGACAGCAAATATCAAACTGAAATTTATGAGAACAGCTTTGAAAATGGTTAACGGTAATGGAGCAACAAATCGAGGGAGAACCTCAAAAAACTATCCATACTGCTTCTGCAGTGATTCTCAACTTACTACCAGTGAGATCTAGAAATCTGTATGATGCAGCTTATACTCGCTGAAGAGAAGGGTGTTCCTAAAAGAAAGCGCAGAGCTATGAGGAAAATGTAAAGTTGGTATAAACTCCCTAGGAAGACAATATGTCACATTATCTCCCTAGGGAATAATACGAGACTTCTTGCCCCTCTTTTGTTACCAGAGAAAATAACGTAAAAGCGTGAAAATAATATTATATGCAAAAATCACCCTTATCGAAAAAGAACATTTACCTTCATTTCGGATTGACTTATTCATTTGTTATCCTAATCCTACAAACTTATCGTATTCTTGTCAAGATTCACGCTTCTGTCAAGTGTCCATTCTTCTTGCTCATTTACAACTTGAAATTGAAAGTCTTATATTGAACTAACCGTCCAGAAAAAGCAAAATTTTATTAGCGCTTATTGCAAGGTGTGCTTTTCAACTCATGGGGTATGACCTTGATTCATTCTGAAGAATAGCAGATGAAAATGTTTCCATTATCCTAATGCGGTATCAAGAAGTCATTGATTTTTCCCATAAATCGCCTCAAAATCCATTCAGGCCCAATCAGCATTTTCCAACCACCCAAATCCACCGAGATCTGCCGCGGCTCAGCTCAGAACTAAACGAACCTCATAATGGAAGATTATGTTGTCATTTATCCATTTTCTCCAGTCCCCGTTCGATAAGCCTGCCTTCAACGAAATTATCTTGGAGACAATTGATTTCGTCCGGACCAGAATAGCTACTTCTATTTTCCAGAATCTTTTTCGACTAAATGATTCAATGGGCTCAAATATGTAAAAGATAGCAAAACGGTAATGGCCTGTTAGAGTTAATAATCAGAAGTCTAATACTTGTAGAATATAGAACTATTTTCTAAAATTATGATCTGTTATGATTTATTCTCGGAAAATATTATTGTTCTGCTTCAATGGAAGTATGATGTTTATGCTTCTGAAGATAAAACAAGATCGTCGCCACTTTGAACCATCCAGACCTAATTTCTGAAAGCGTTGGGTTGCCAAAGATGTCGAATTGAAATATTTCGTTCGCTTCAAACTATCTCATTGATTTCTCAGTAGCCTTGGGTGCCTGTTGAGTTCCGAGTTTACATAAACAAGTGAGGAATCAGTTCCGATGATAATTTCGAAATTCTACACGTGGAAAATGAAGAAATAAAACTCAATCATTCTGAGTCATTAGGAATCAACAAACGCAAAAATTACAACATTCTACTTAAAGATCAACTAGTCCTCAATACTTCACCGCCGTTAGTTTTCTTAGTAGGTGATTATATGTATTTGGTATGTATATTGTGCCTAATCTCCGAAAACAGAGGTTCATCGAATATTTCCATTATTCTTATGCATTTTTATTCTTCTAATCATTCAGGATTGGAGAGTTGGATATGATAGTTAGGCAAGCCAATGTTAGTTCAGTTTATTGTACCAGTCTTTCACCTGAAGAAGCTACTGTGTTAGCGAAACTTGTGGGGTGAATAATATTTTTTTAGAAATCTTATCGTTTGTGGAGTGTTCATACATTTACTATAGATTTCCATTATCTAACGGCCCAGTCAATTCAAAAACTCTATTTATCACTCAAATTTCTCACAAAGTTTTTGCCTTGTCTGGAGACAAATTCTGAGGAAATCTTCCTGCTTTTCTCCACTTTGGTTTTTCCTATAAACCAGACTCACACCATTGCTATCTCTCTATTTCTCATTTTTTGTCTTTCAGTACTCTACTTCACTTTAGAATGAGTTCTGATCTAGTTTCAAGAAACCAAAGAACAGGAATAACGATTGTAGTGGGCGATGGTCTCGTGAGTTGGGGTTCTTGAGATAGCTCCTTTCAATTCATGTTGCTGGTGATAGATAGAAACAATTCTTGAAAGAGCATATGAAATAATTAACAAGGCATACACAGAATACAGAAAGAAGTTATTATGATACTATTTTGATACTATCATCGATACCATCGCAGAAAATCACCGACAGTAATTGGCTGTTCATGCTTCAAAGATGGCTTCTGCATACCAGTTATTTTTATCATGGAGTAATTCTCAGTAAAACTCCCTCATATTCGTTTGTGACATTGTTTATAGGCAAATGGTTCATTCCATGAACACCAGATCGCGTTTCCTTTTACTCCACCGATGCATAATACTGCCCTTCGTGAACGATCTTTCTCCTTCACGATCACAAAAATATATAATGCTCTTCCTGCACCACTAAGGACCATGAATTTGCGTCTTTTCGAATTTGACTTGGGAAAATACATGTTAGAAAGTTAATTCACTTTTCTATATAGGTATAGTTGAGTCGTCCTCTCATCCATTGGTAATCACATATTGAACTTTATTAATAGATCTATATGACCTTCGATTCCCTCTTTCAATATCATCCCCCAAGTCGATTGGACTTTATCCTAATGAACCGATTCATATGTACTTTATTTTTTATATTTTGGTTCATTATCTTATATGTCAGAACTCTTATTGATTGAATTATTTAATTTATGTGTTTTCTCCCGATGTAGATGAATAATTAATTAATTATTGTATATGATTTTTTACTTCCAAGTTACCTCGAATGGTTCTAGCTATGTTGTAGAACGATAGAATTTAGTTTCTCTGGTAACAAAAGAGGGACAGAAAACTCGTATCATCCCCTAGGGAGAAAATGTGACATATTTTCCCCCTAGGGAGTTTATACCAACATCACATTTTCCGCATAGCTCTGCGCATTCTTTTCGGAACACCCTTCTTAGAAGCGAGTATAAGCTGCATCATAAAGATGTCTAGATCTCACTGGTAGTGAGTTGAGAATCACTGCAGAAGCAGTATTGATAGTTTCTTGGGGTTTAACCATTTTCAAATCTGTTTTCATAAATTTCAGTTTGATATTTGCTGTCACCATGGGTTGTCAACAAGATGCATGTTGTCAAGATACGAATTCCACAAACTATACTACTTCTAATTATTACAGAACACTCCGACCAAATTCTCATTCTTTCTTAATTTTTGTGTATTCGCCAGCGTGAAAAATAGTTTATACACCTCAGGACAGAATGCTATTTTTCCCTCGGTGCTTTGTATCTCTCGAGTTTCGCCGTCGAGCTACAAATCGCACCTTGGTAAAAATCTTCTATTTCTGTTCCTTGATGTATAATGTACTATTTCACTCTGACTTTCACAATGATTATCATATTGAATTTGAACCCATATTGCCGTTTTCCTAGGTTGAATGTCAGAGCAGTTGCCTTTCTCCTTGGAAAGAGGTGACTGAATTCCGCCTTGCCTTCAATGAATGTAGACATTTTTATTATTATCATTATTATTCTTATCTACTGACTATAATCTTTCCTGATGGAACAGTTATGTCCATATTGAAGCAAACCATGAACACGAATCTTGCTTTTTTGCATTCTCGCTATTCTCTTCCTTAAATGGTGAAGGTTTGTTAGTTAAACACCAATTTCATGTTTGTGACTCGAAATTCAATGCTTTCTTTCCTTGTTTATATTCTGCTGCAGGTCTTGTGGATGGCTCCCTCCAAAGGCAGCGGCTGCATCAAAATGAAGGCCACAGTTGTCGAATCGGTGGACACGTGGTTCAGTGAAGAAGGCCAGCTCACGAAAGTGTTGTGCGAAGAATCTCATGACACAGAAGACACTCAACCTAGGATTCTTAAGCAGTGCTGTACTTGTGACGAAGCCAAATACGAGGTATATACTGCCAGTAGCACATCTACAATTAAGTTCTTGGGGGAGTAAGATAAGATACATTTTTTTCTCTAACGAATACAATTTTTTTGTTACGTATTTTCATCAGAAAAACATGAATTTGATAAAGAAAATGTGAACAGACTATAATTTATTCATTATTTAATACGATATTTCACTATAAAGTTACAAATTTCACATTCTTTTCTGCCTGTCTTTTGGTTCGCATTTAAAACAATTTGCCCTTCTTTTCTCATCATCAGACAATTTATATATCACCAGAATGTACTACAATGACACATTTTTTATATATGAAAGTCAACTAGAGATATGATTTTCTTGTGATTTAACAATATTTAGTGAAAAGATAGATAAATATCATTTAGAATATTGGCGTGTGTAACCTCATTCGAAACCAATCTGTTGACATTTGACATCTCGTATTTCAATTGATTATTGATTGAATGATATTGTCGCAACTCAGATGGTTTTGGTAGATTATTTGGCAAACAGCGTGTCCACCACATGTCGCAACTCAGATGTTGCCCTCCTATGGATCGCAACTTGGCTACTCGCTTGGCTTGATGAGAGGATTTTGATCATTTCACCACCCAACCATATTCATCCCCAAATGAAGAGTCAAGATAGTTTTCGTATAAAATTAACATTTATTGATTTAATGGGAGAGTCGTGAATAAATGCTTGCCACATGACAAAGTAGCAGAGACAAACCATTGTAAATTACCAAAGGGAACACAACACCAAACAACAATTCAGATAGAACATGGAAAAACAGTACTTACATGATGGGGTTGACCAGCAGGATCAAAGTCGGGAAGACGGTACACATTTTGGCAGTAACTCGTGAATAAGTAACTCAATTACGGAATAAAGTAAAGTGTTATCGAAATGCATTATAATTAGTAAAGAATAATCGATAATAGTGAATGATCAGTAATTGAGAAATGGATGATCAATAATAATCAAAAATCAGTAATGAATGGCTTATCGATTCGGAATCTATTTATATTTGGAATCGATGCTAACATTGCAATTTTCCGCAATGGCAATGCTCGATACCGGGCGTATAGCTTGGCCCGCATCGCAAGCTAAGCGGTTTCATGCAAATTTTACCGGAACTAGAGTCTATGAACTCCGCTTTGACCTGATCGAAACGTTGTACAAGATGTTTTAATTTGGAAAAGTTAATTTATGAATAAAGATCTAGAAATGAACGAAAGATATTTCTTAGACATTTGTACTTCTTGACAATATAGTCATCTGGTATGATTGTTCACTAAATATGAAAAGCTGCTTCTTATAAAAACCATATTTCATGTTGAATTTTCTATTTGAGAATGTGTCATTGAAGTAGGTACATCATAAGTATGTAAAGTGTCCAATGAAAAAGAAGTTATTTTAGCTCAGCTTCTTGATGAAAATAATCTATGAGTTCATAATCTGATAAAAGATGGAGAATAATTTCTCAAAGTTGCGTGAGTGTATTCACATTTGACATATTTGACACCTTTAATAACCAACTCTACAATTCCAAATGCCTCAGCCTTCCGAATATAATCAATCTGTATTGTTTCCGTAACATCTTCTTTCCATTATCGAATGGAAATAATCTTTCAAGTTGTAAGTTAATTCTGATTCTATTAATTTCAAGATTGAACTCTCAGTATTAAAGCTCCTGCGGCTTTTTGAAATATACATTTTTATTTCGTCTCGATTTGTCATTTTATGAGGCATCTGAACAGATATCTCTAATTAGAAATAATTATGTCAGCAGGGTATCAAAGAAGCCGAAAATGATTCTATGACTTCCTGAAAATCTGCGAGCTTATTAACACAATGAAAAATACGTTCATAAAAATTTTCCATAAACTTCACGGGTGAATAAAGTTTAATAAAGGAAATTTCTCTATTGAATCACTGTAAATGTACATTGGGAAATCTTGAATAATCCAATGATGATTAATGTTGTGCCATATTTGAATACTGCTGCTTTGCAAAACCGCAAATAATTCTTGTGTGCATAAGCAAATAATATACCCTCCCTGTTTCAGAAGCTGACAATAATTTATTCAGTAACCGTCGGATGCACCAACGAAATAAATCTTGACCAGTTCTGAATTGATATACATGTTGTGCATTAATATCCCATTGCATGACGATTCCACCAACAACAGAACAAGAGATGCACAAGAGAGTTCCTATAATGGATATTCAAAATTGTGGAGTTGCCATACGATTAGAGTTTCTAGTTCAAGTCTATCACTGATCGATCAAACTTGGATCATATCATGAATGGCTTAGTGACACAATCATCACTCAGTAATAATTGATGATAGGAGGCCAAATAGGATGAAAATCACTTTGGTTTCGGAATCAGTTGAAACATCCGAATTGATTGTCAGCTCAGTGAGCTGTCCATCGAACTCCCACGGTGGTGGCTCGTGTTGTTCAACTCTCTGCGAGGAGTCAGTTTTTTTAAATTTTTTTCCACTCAAGTTATTTTTCGAGAGAATATACTTTTTAGAAAAAAGGATAAGAAATCAGCTATACCATGTGTCCATTGTGCATTGAAAAAATGTTTAGTGAACAATTCGAGAAATACTGAGATTTCGCGTTAAACAAAAACTCGAATTTCCATCTTATGAAAAATGTATCGACTGGAAAAACGGTATTGAACAGAAAGAAGGAAATTATTTCATCAAAATTAGAGGAACGAATGAAACGTTCAGATTAGAAAAACAATATTTTCATTGTCATCGCTAGGGAAATTCCCACTCGACGAGCACTGGAAAGGAGAAAGTTAAAATATAGGGCAGCAAGAAAGAATTCAAATTTTCCTGCTTCTATCAGAGTGATCATGTATAGTATTAATGGTACATGCAAAATTGTTTCCACATAAAAGAATATTAGACATAAGAACGAATCATGTTACCTAACAATGACTAAGAAGCAACTTGAAACTTTGGCTGCTGAAATTGCCCAAAAGATACCCTTTAGTGACATTTTGGATTGAGAAAGTCAGCACGGAATAATATCAGAAATATTGATACAGGGTGAGTCAGGTATAGGTACCTCTCAACATTGAATAATGCATGTGAGCCGTTTTGACCAATAATGAATAGTTTTGATTCTATGGCAGCTGTAGAACGCCAGTAATCGCAGCATTGTCCTCTGGCGACTAACAACTGACAAGAGATAACCTCAATAAATTATATATCTTTGGAAGCGGAATAAAGAGCTCTACCCTTAAGGACAATGAAATATAGGGTGTTTCTTTTGAAATATACCAGTTTATGTAAACTTTTTGGGTTTACGATACTTTTTTGCATCTTCTAATACTACATTCTGAAAACCCATAAAGATACTTCACTTTTTTCTCATTTGAACGTTTTTGTAGCATCAATATTGACTGAGATATCATTGAGTGAAATATAAACAATCATACATAATTATGAAAAGTAGAGTGTTCTCCGTTTGAATATTCTAGGGATCACCCTGCATAACTTCTGATTGATAGGGTCTCTTCGATGGATGGATGTACGTGGTATCAACTGGGAAAGCAGTTTCTTTATGTATCATATCACAACAATTTTTGTATACTCATATTTATATTTGTTTCGAGGCAAATTTCTCGCGCCCGGCGAGCAGCGAGCCAGGCGCAATATCACCTCGCTATGGTGCAATGGCTAGACTCTAGTGTCCGACTCTTCTAGAACTGCCAGGAGTTTGTGCAGTAGAATCGGTCGCGTTCGGGTTTTGTGGAACTGTTCTAGGACTGTATCTTCAAGCGTTCGGGTTTTTTCAGAATCGTTCTGGAACGGTCCTAAAACTATCCGGAACCAGTACCCGCTCTGGAGCATGAACCGTTCTAGGATCATTTTTGTCCTGGAATACTGTTTCCATATTTAGAGTGCAGCACCCATACATACCCTGAAACTATTGGATTCTGTTCAAAAAAGGGCAATTCGTCACGTGAGTGATGCCTCGCTCACAAACTCACTCACTTCCCTGGAACACCGTAGAAGAGTTGGCGATCTGTCTCTATTTCATAGATATTCTCATGGACGATGCTCTTCTGAAATATCAACAATTATTGTTCCTCCCTTGGCAGTCCCCGCGAGATCAACTTGTCGAGTTGAGGCTTCGCACCCCTTCGTGGTCACTTTGGAGACCTGCAGAACATCTCTTTTCGAATACTTGCTCATCCAACGAACAGCGAGACTCTGGAACACATTACCAGGAGAGGTGTTTTCCGAGGCATATAACCTCCAGAAATGTAAGCAGAACACCAATTCCTACCTTATTTCCCTTGGTTCTCACGATTTTCTCTGAACATAACAGGATATCCCTTTAAGTGGGAACCAGAACATAAAAAAAAACATGCTCAATTCATTAAGTTTTCGATTCTTTCTGTTGTAGCGTAACGTCATAATGATATATTTCTGTTTATTCTATTGTTTATTATTCTTTTCAATATTTTCCCAATATTATGGAGTTAGTACATTCATTTGAAAGTAGTAGTTCTTCATCTTCAGGAAGCCAGTAGCGAAGGAGTTACTTGCTGAAGTTGCTGAAAATATTGTACCTAATCTGATAATTTTCGAACTTTCATTAGATAAACCGAAAAATGGAGGATTATGTTAGGGAGACTTTGCCATTATATTATTTAGATACACAATTCATTGAATATTTTAGGTGGGTGTCAAAATTCATGTAAGTACAAGGGACAAAACATATTGAAAATCTAGCTACGAATGCTATGATGTAATATATTCACCATTCCTCCACAGAGGCTTCGTATAGATATTGTGAATAGACTCAAAGGAGAGTTTGGAGCTTCAGAATATAAATTGAATGAAGATACAGGTTCCAAACTATTATTTTTTTCGCAAATTCTGGATCGAGGTTATGTTCTCAGAGGTTCTCTTCTGTTGTGTTCGGGTGTTCATAATTTGTGAAACGTTCTGAAACAGTCCTAGGATTCGAAACGACTGCGCACTAGTTCTATCCAGTTCGACAACGATTCTTGAACAGTTCTGAAATCGCAACCCGAATGAACAATCACCTCACTTGAATGTACCGACACCCTCTGTATTTCCGATCAGATCATCTTCGAGGGCCTGTGGTCGAGGAACACCCACCCCAAGGACTTCCCGACGACGGGTCGGCCGACGCGCTTCAGCGACATCATCGGCGCTTCGCACACCGGCGATTACACCTTCTGGAGTTACGGCGACGCGGCCAGCGAGGGGCTGCGCCAGCTGGCAGAGCATGGAAACACCAGGATGCTCGAGAGTGAGCTCAAGGCGAAGGTGAGTGGATATCTTGCACGTTGTGAATAATAGTGTAATCTCTGTGGAATCTCCATATATCTTATGTAACGAATAAACTGAGAGATATTGTCTAAGAGCTGGCTACATGAGTTTGAACGTGACTCGGAACAGTCACAATTTTCTTCTGGAATGGACCCATTAATGGTGTGGAACACTAAGGCGCAAGTCTGCCTGGTCGGTCTGGGGGACTTATGTGGGGGCAAGCGGGGAAAGTCGAGTTTTGGAGGTAATCGACGTCATTAGTACAGTCACGAAATTTCGTGCACATAAACACTCAGTGCCAAAAAATAGAACTGGCAGATGGTCAGAGCTCAGCTCGTCTATCACCTTAATGTCTGAGATGTCCAACACGTTTTTGGACAGCACTATGTCCAGGACTGTCGGTGCCATTTCATTGATGGGGTAGTGCGTGGGAGTAATTGAGTAGTCCAGGTTGACATTAGTGGCCTGTAGGTACGCTTTCAACCTACACCCGTTTTTTTATATCGCTTGGAGCGCACGAAAGGTAATCCCTATAATGTTCAAAGAACATCGTGCGTTCCTAGGGAGGATAGGGACAGGAGGTAGGTATTGGAATTTTTTTTTAACTTTTGGATATTATATGTTGTTGGGAATACTTCCTCAGGCAATGATTTCCAGAGCCTAGCCGTTCTATGGATGAAGGAGTTTTCATAAAGTTGGTCTACACTCTATAGGCATATACGTTGTTGCATTGATCATTCCATTTCTGATCGACAAATGTTCAGAACAAAATCATACGATCACCTTTGACTGTGCTGATTATAACCTCCATGCGGTGTTATGGTTAGATGCTAATCACCTTCGATACCTTCATACGAAGAGTTTGGCAGGAATGTTTGTGATATCTATTGAAATTCACCTAAAATGTACGAGATGATAAATTTCAATTCTCCATAATCAGCAAGTTTCGAAAAAAATCTCATGAATCGATATTTGAAATACTGAAACAATGTCTCAATCATTCCTTATGATTACTCACTCGTGAAGAAAAAAAAAAACGGTAATAATTGTCCACATATTGCTCATGAATAGAGCATACCTGTGAGTGAGTATTCGTCGAATACTTTTACATTTCTTCCTCCTCAGAGAAACATGGAATCAACGTTTTTGCTGCTACTACAAATTATGTAACAGTGCGCAATTCAACTCAATGAGTGAGTAGTTGTTCTCAAAGAACGAAAATCCTAATTAAATCTCGTTAGCATGCCAAATATATAATATGCTTCAGTTAAAACTATTGTGTTTTTCCGTATTCCAGTTCTGTTCATCCAACTGTGAATATAACGACAATTGTGATATTCTTTATAGTCAGAAAGATATTCTTTTCATACAAGTTAACGAAGCAGATGGTGAACCGTCTAATTATTATTTCAATTGTGAGAAATACACATAGATCCTCTAGACGACATTATTCCATTTCGAGTCGGTTTCAATTTATTCAAGATACCTATTCTCAGAGCTTGCTAGAGCTTGCCAACATTATTTTTTGCCTTTGATATCAGTTTGCATTCTACATGGCAGAATCCCAGCTATAAAACGATAATTTTCAGATTTCTCACATAGACATGGAGGATCTAACATGTATTGATGGAATAAAAGTTTGAACTTGTTTTTTTACACCAGTAATTTCGATACTTGGAAGGAAACTAAAGATTTCATGTTTACTATAATCAATTTTTTTAATGAAAAAGCATTACTATTCATTACTCATTACTATACATACACACTAGTGCTTGCAACGCCAAATGTGTTCAGCTCCTTCAATAATCAAAAACAAATGAGATACGCCACTTCGTGCCAATAATATTTTTATTGCAGGATATAGTTTGGTCACTCACTTTACTTGTTTTTTTTTTCAAATAAACGAATTCATACATTTCCCTGTTCAATTCGTCAAGGAAAAATGTGGTCCTATTGAATAACTGTCAATAAGTCACATCCACACATTAACAAAAAACTTTCGTGGGAAACTAGTTTCCCTTCTTAAACAGGGGTTTCTTCGGCCCAATGATGGAGGTTATGCCATGAAAATTCGTTATGCTACACTGAAAAAAAAATTGAGTGAAATTTCACTCAAGGTCCACGCAATAATGAGTCAATTTCGGTCCACGCCCGATTGAGTTGAAATTGCACCCTACTCGACTGTGTGAAATGGTAATTCATGAACCGATTCAATCAAATTTTTTATAAACATTCTCATTGATATGAGAACTTGATGAAATATCTAGTTTGAGTTGAGAATTCACTCGAAAATGTCTATCAGTAAATTCACTCACAACCACATATGCATTCACTCAGAGGAATTTTCTACAGTGTATTTGGATGCCTCGAGCGAATAAACGAACCTAATAAAAAGCTGCTTTATCGCCAAAAATAAATACTGATAGGTATTTTTCAAGTATGATTTTTACTATTTCCTCATAATAACATATCCGTATCAACTTTCAATTTCATTTGTACCCACTTAGATAGTTATTGCCTTAAGGAAGTTTTAACGAATTCTTGACAAATGTGGCTTAGAGATTCTGCTAATAATGACTGCTAGAATGTGGTTGAAATCCACGATCCACAAACAATATACCACTTAGTATTCACAATTCATCTTTGATCTAAATTATTCCTGGATTTTTTTACTCCAACATAACATAAGACCATAGTGTTGATCATGTATTCTAGTTGAGAGGTTGCAAAATTGTAGAGCAGATTATCGGGACACTAACTTTCAAACCCTTAAAGTCTTCCTTCTCGATATAAACAAAAAAAAAATCTTCAAAACTAACAACTTTTGCATAATGCATATCAGGGTTATCGAATTACCAGTAACCCTGTATAAACAATTGATAGTTTTATATTGAGTTGGGGTTGTTTTATAATTTCCAGAGTGATCACATCCGAACGATAATCAAAGCTCGCGGCATCAGCCACCCCAACATCACAGGCAAGACGTTCGCGGTCTTCCGTGTGGACAACCGACACCACCTCGTGTCGTTGGTGTCGATGATAGATCCTTCTCCAGACTGGATCGTCGGAGTTTCCAGCCTCGAGCTGTGCCTGCGCAACTGCTCCTGGATCGAGGCCAAGGTGGTCAACTTGTATCCGTGGGATGTGGGAACGGACGATGGAATCACTTATTTGGTAGGTACATTTTGATAATTTTACATTTCATAAATGACATATGCCTGGGCATGGACTCGCATATCCTTATATATTCGTCAGATGACTGCGACTTCAAAATGACATCGACAAGTTGATTCAATGGTGTATAAAACTGTAATTATGTTATTTAGACTCGCAAAAAGTCACCTTTCGGTTTCTTCTACAACATTAACGGCCAGCTTCTGCAAAAAATTACTGAATTCAAAGATCTACGCATGATCTTCGACACGAAATTCACGTTTTCTCACCACGTGAGTACTGTTGTCACGAGTGGATTTGATACACTGGGTTTCATTAACAGAAACTCCAGATGGTTGTCTGGTATTAAAACCTACTTACTCCTTTTTGATACGCTTTTGAGGTCAAAGTTTGAATATGGCTGCGTTGTTTGGAATCCTGGATACATCACATATAGTGGGGGTTTAGAGAATCTTCAGAAGCGATTTTTGAAGTACATCAGTTTCAGATGTGATGGCTTGTATCCGGCGCGAGGTGTATGATACACTTCTTTCTAGATTTCAAGTCGATTCCCTAGACAAACGTCGTATTTATTTGGGCATTTTATTTCTATACAAGATCTCAGTCTCGCGTATTGACTGCCTATACCTGCTTGCACGTATCAATTTTTGCACGTTTCTATGCCTACCTGTACCTAGTTTCACCACGTTTTACGTGCCAGTCGCCCAAACAAATGTTTCTTTTTTTCTCGCCTCTGTATAAAATATGTCGTGATTACTTGTCAATTCAGAATAGAATAGATATTTTTCACTGCAAACCAATAGACATCTAAAGGATTACTCTATCATAATATAATAATATTGTTGTTGTTTTAACACTGTTTGTAACGCTGTGTATGAACTGTTTCCTCGCCGTAGTTTTTTCAGTTCATACACATCGTTACGCAGTGTATTATTCACTTTATTTTTCGATGCATATTGCCTTCTCTGTTTTGTTTTTTAATATAATTTCGATACAGATTTTGAACAATACTTGTTATTCGCCCATTCTGTGATAAGCCCCGGCTGTTGAATTGGCGTACCGCTAAATATAATCGAATCGAATCAAAATCAAATAGGTCTCGAAAGATGGAGGTAGTTTTGGTCTTGGTATTGGTCATGATGATTCAAGACCAAGACGAGACTGGCTCAGTCTTTGTTTTGGTCTTGATAGTCTTGGTCTTGGATCAAAATTTGTCTAGAAATTTGAATTATTCAATTCATATAACCAATAGTTTATAAGTATATATTAGGTATTTCCTATTTCTCCGTCTTTGAAATTGTCAATTTGTGCGTATGAAGTAAGCGAAATGAATTTCTACTTTCACCATAAGCATATTATTTCTGAGGAACCCTAAATGAATGAGACCCAAACAGCAAACAGGCCGACGCTTGATAGGCCAGAAAATAGTTTCGAAAGAATCGGAACTGATGACAACATCAATGCATTATCAAAATATTTCGAAAAATTTCAAATTGAATTCAGATGACTTTCGTATTGAATTCGTTTCTATCTTCAATGAAAGGAGGTATGGACCACTGTGACCTCACAACATACACATATCTGTTCTGAACAAAACTGCAATACTGAATTCGAAAACTGTATTTCGGATTTTGAGTGAACAAACATTGAAAACCCACCATATGACAAATAAATAACTGGAATGAAATGCCATAACATTTTCCATCAGATTTTTGTTGATATTGAGTAGATTCAAGTTCATTATTTTTCTCTCGAGACCAAGACCGATACTTTTGGAAGATAGTCTTGGTGTTGGTCCGGGAAAGATTTATTGAGTCTTGGTCTCGCTAAGCCTTAAAATCAAACCACTTCATTTCTTTTGAGATCAAGAATCAAGATGCAACCGCATAGTTGTAAGGTAGCTACTTATATAAAGGAATTAACAATACACGTTGAGTATCATATGAAACATGTTCACATAATAAATATACATACTACATAGTATGTAGTGGACAGACTCCTGACTTGTTATCAAGAGTACATAAAGAATAACAATTCACAATGAATAAAATAAAATATGGAGTTAAAGGTATTCTTTCAAACATGAATCCCTAGTTTTGAACACGAGAATACATACTTCAAATACGTAGAGGCCTACACAAGTGAGAATTGGAAATCTTTTGAAGTTTCCTCCACAAGAATAGCCTTGTTTACACCATCAATACACCTTATGATTAATTTAAGAACGAAAGCATTATCTGATAGTGTAAAGTCTTCCCATAGGCAAATACCATACCTCACTCGACATTATCCACTCGTGCGGAGTATAAATTTGTCAGTTGTTGCTGTGTTGAAAAAACTATGATTTTACAGCTGTTATTTAAAGGCAAAGATTTGTTATTCAAATGTGAATCTACATCTACCGATTCCCTTTGATGCCTGTGAAATTTTGTGAGATAAGTTTTGTCTCCATTGAAATTAAACCGAATTTACTATTCTGATACCAGATTCGCAGGAATGGTACTCTGATCTAGTAGGTATTCATCAATAACGACCTGTCATAAACAGTCGAGGTCATGGGTACTAGATTTGAATCAGAATTGAAAACTAGTACATTATACATGAAGGAGTAGAAATGCGACATTTTTCCAAGGTGCGATTTGTAGCTCGAGGGCGAAGCCCCAGATATACAAAGCACCGAGGGATAAATATCATTCTGTCCTGAGGTGTAAATGCTACTTTTCACGCTGACAAGAATACACAAATGTGTTGTGTGGAAAAGAATAAACATTTGGTCAAAGTATTTTATCATAAGTAGTCGTAGTGGTTTTTGGAATTCGTATATTGTTAACATTTATCTTGTTGATATGGTCATGGTGACAGCAAATATCTAACTGAAATTTATGAACATGGTTGACGGTTATGGAACAAGATATCAAGGGAGAACACCAAGAAATTGTTGATACTGCTTCTGCAGTGATTCTTTACTTGTTACCAGTGAAATCCAGAAATCTATATGATGCAGCTTGTACTCGCTTCAGAAAATGGTGTTCCGATAGGAACGTGCAGAACTAGGCAGAAAATGTAAAGTTGGTATAAGCGCCCAAGGGAGAAAATATGTCACATTATCTCCCTAGGAAATAATACACCACTTCTGTCACTCTTTTGGTACCAGACAAAGTAACTTCTACTGCCGCCAGCGTTGAAATTTGCTTTCATATTGACAATAGGACGATATTTCAGTTTCACATAACTTTAGTAACTAAAATATAGACCGAGAGCTGACAATCACTTGGTCGACATTTCGCGAATCGTTTGGCAGACATTCCATTTTCTTATTGCAGTAAGAGCTCAGAATCCTAGTAAATTGATTTTTTCGATTAATAGGTCCTAATCATTTCTATCTTTTCTAAGTGCATCAGGAACTGAATGAAGTTCAGAAATATGATTTTGGATTGGGGAAAAGCTTAGTGAATTGATACATACATACATATTATATGATGCCAATATTGAATCGACAGAGTATATACATTCTCCATGCTCATGCTTCTCAATGGAATCAATTATATTATACGTTTTCCACCGTAATGTTACATAATGGAACTACATAATGGAGTGAATAGGATCATACTGCATGTCTAATCGGGTGTGGAAATTGCTGCTATACCATTCAATTATTTGACGGAGTGAAAGACTAGGAGAACAAAGGATTGTTGCCGTAAGATTTGATGAAAACCGATTCAATGGAATATTCTAGAAGAATTAAAAATTGAAAACAATAGATCTCCAACTTTGGAAAGCATCTTTCGCAAAACTTTGTTTCGAGGTTTGATGAAACCGAATCATATTCTTTGGAAATTACAAATTTCTCCGATATCCTTCAATATTATTGGCTGCCTGAGAAATGAATTTGTTGAATTGCATAATAATATAAAAAAATCGATTATTGTTCTCATACTTGCAGTTATATTCATATACGTAAGAAACGCACTAAATGATATGCTCGAATTCTAACATTCTCCGTGGGAAAGATTATTCAACAAATATAATGACGCCTTCCTATCCAATATCTGTATATTCCTCAACTTCATTGCAAACACCTAAGTTCGGATTTTCATGTTGCTAAAAAAATATGGAATCTTCATTTGAATGATACTTGTTGCCTGATACACATATATAGGTTCAACAAAGTGTCGAATAGTGTCAGAACACATCAATAATCATTCACCCAATATAGAATTATGTAAACAAAAATGGTCTTTTGTCTTATGACCCATCAAATCACTACTTATTATCAGTGAGGTATTCATGAAATGAATTCCTAATCTTTTTCATTACTGTATCATGGAATTCTTCAATAACCACGAAAATTTCGGTATTTTCAAGTTTCTGCAAAAACTTTTCATTTCAGATACAGTGATTTGAAGATAAAAAATCCAAATCCTCCAGCGTGAAATTCACTAGTAAAGGTGAAAGTGTATGGTTACTACCTGAATAAATCGAGTTTTCCAATTTTTCGAATGGACAAATTTGACTCTAATTCCTGAGCACCCTGTAGGAAAATTTTGTAATTATCTCGAGGATTTAGGTAGCTAAGGGTCTCATCAGTCTAGATGCTGAAAATATTGAATCTGACTATAGCTCGAATTTAAGGAAATTATGAATTTTCCCAACTTTATTGCTGTCCCAAGTTGGGCTGATCTGATGGTTCCCAAAGTTCCTAACGAGGGACAATCATTTTATACTGCTGCTAGTCCTCTTTTAGAAGTCTTGAAATTGAAATGGACAGTGCATTCTGAAAAATGAAGAAAAGATTTTGATTATTTCTGATAGGAAAATGCATTTTCCATATAAAAACAGATGCATAGATGGAAACTAAAAATCCCTTTCATGCATTAGCCACAATATTTTTTCAATGTTAGGAACATTATATGGATGTAAAAAAATATGAGAATTCAAACATCAAACAATGCTCTTGAGGATATTACGGATAAAAGAAGTCAAATTCGTCCCAATTTGGGGTGATATCCCAAGTGTGGGCAATTGACTACGTTATGAAATCTGAAAATGATCGGAACTACAAACAAACCAACACCAAATAACCTCAAGAACGAAGCGGTCACAACACTGACATCACAGTTTCGCAAGCATTGCTCTTATATCTTTGATTTATCGTATTCGACTTGAAATCACATGAAATAGTTATTTGTTTCACTAGACAGCAAAGAAGTAGATTGACAGCCATGTGAAACATGAAATTTTCTCCAAATGTTATTAAACCAATTTTGTGTAAATGTTTCATTGACCATTTAATTCATGTATGAAAAAGCCGCTTGAGTTTGTCATGATGACAGCGAAAAAAGGTTGCCCTAACTTTTCCAGCGACAATATCGGAACCAAACTTCTGAAAGCATGACAACCAGCCGTAAACAAATGTTTGATGAATTAAATTGTCTCACCGAATTACACTCTAGCTTTTTTTATAATTCGAATTTTGTTGCTATAAGGTAATACAACTCAAAAAAACTGCCAGAAGAAATTACTCGTCCTACGGACTTTTTCAGAGGCTGTTTTTTTCGTCAAATTGCCAGGCAACAATAGTAGATTGTTTTATTAGGATCAAAAGTGACACTTTGTTTGACAAGCGAATTTTGCATTTGCGAGGCGGAGCGTTTAGCGAAGCCGAGCGAAAGCAAAATTTGCGAGTCGAACAAAGTCACTTTTGATCCGAATGAAACATGCTATTTTTTCTGCAACCGAAACAATTAACTCAAATAAACATGTGAAGTAACCACCAATGCCGTGCCATATGTAGGTATGCAATGCAACAAATATTGACAAATAATCCATGTGGTGAGAATATACTACCTACATTAACAGCAGGTTAGGTTTTCTAGGATGCTCGAATTGTAGTTTCAATATTAATCCAACCACAGAGTGACATATTTGTGTATGGACCAGGTGCTCTTATGGCAAATACCGCGCCAGTGCCAGTTATAGGAACAAGACGTGGAAAATGTTAGGTTAGTGAGCATATCAACAATGATAATATAGTGATTATTTATTCCTCTCCATATTGGTATACTACACTGTGTTTGACTTGACAATCAAATGAAGCTAAACAATATCGTTGTTTGAGACAATAAAACTATTGCTTGCCGTGATTATTCAAAAACAAGTTATCCATCCCGAGAATAACGAATGAAATACAGATCAAGCAAGTATTTGAATCTAGAAGGCTTCCCTGATCAAAACAAAAATACTTAACTGAGATGTTTATAATTCCAATACTAAACTCTAAACTATAATAAGGTGTATTTATATCTCCAGCATGGGTATGAAATGCCAAATCTGCTGAAATCGGAAACAAATCAGGTATGCGTCTCAACCCAAATAACCAACCGTCACAATGTTGTTTATTCTTGATGATGTCCAGTAGATCTTTTTTAGTTCCTAGGAGCTAAAGTTCAACTTTAGCTCCTAGGAACTAAAATTCAACTTTCGCCTCTAGGAAATAAATATGTTGCCTAGCAACATACCTATTTTTGTGTCAGTAATAGAAACGTCAATTTAAGAGCTAATTTTGGTATCAAAATGGACGACTTTTGTGTCGGTTGCAGAAAAAAGTCTTATTGATACATGTCAAGTTTACTTCGACAAAAAAAGTTTTCGTGAAAATTCGATTATTTTGTGTTCACCGCCAATGTCAGTGTCAATTTTGATTTCATTCAAATTTCTTGGAACATTGCATAGCAATAAACTTCTCCTGCCTAGGCTGAGAAATTACACCTTTCCTGTCTGTTAAGTGTCAAAGAAAAGGTCCTTTTCCTGCCGCTTGAAGAAAATAAACATTTTTGTCATGTACGTCTCTTTCTAGTCGCCGAATCAACCGTCCTCCCCTAGGCTGCCAATCCGACGCGTCAAGACCAACGTTCCGAATGACTCAAGGTCGCCTTTCTATGACGTCACCAACACGCCTATGAAGCCGTTCGCGAGGCTCACGCTGACCAGGCAGCGCTTGTACGAGAAGAGCTGTGACGCGAATCCGAAGGAAGAGACTGAAGATGACGCGGCTTGCGAAACGGAGGCCTGGTCGAGTTGGTCGCCCTGTTCTGTCACTTGCGGTAGAGGAATCAAGTACAAGCAGCGGAGGTATTCTGCCATCGACAAACCCCACTTTCTAGATCTCTAACTACACCCACCAGCGAAAAAACCAGTCTGAACAAATCATCCTAATCGATGGCTCCGTATTACTTCTTATCCTCGTCCGATAGTGAATGAAAAATCTCAGCTTTATTATGTTTCTGATTGGAGTGTGATCTCTTCTCAACACAATGGTTCTTGATTCACGTTAATACCTTTTGTATTCAAGATAAGATATACAAGTGTATGAATATGAAACAAGAACATCTGAAAATCGATATCACTTATCCCCATCTCTTTCTCATAGCACTCACCAGCAGAACTTAATTTTAAGAAACGAACAAATAGCAGACCTCCTAGATGTAGCCAGTATGTCCTCCATGAGCTTGAAATACAGCATTCAATCACAGTGGCATCAATCTGTTCAATTTCTCAAACAGTTTTGAGGAATTGCCCCAAATAGGTTCTTCTGAATAGGAGAATCGTAGCTCTTGAAGAGACTCAGGCCAGATATGACGGAATGCGCCTCTGGAGTTCATCCGAAAATTTTTCTATAGGTTCTGAATCACTATTGATGAAAGTTGTTGAACTGTCTAATTACTATGCAGTGAAAACGTTAAAAAGCTTACCACCCTCTAGCTTTTGAATGAAACAAGCTAGCTAGGTCAGGTGGAATTGAGATAAAAAGGTTCTTCCCATTAAACACAAACATCCTTGGGATGTCACATTCATGTCTCGCTAGGTAACAATGCGAATCACCAGAAAACATCATTGGTATTGCCAGGGGCCTCTCTACTCCACAAATCATTCGCAATATTCGACACATTTTTTTGGATTTGTGACTTGAAATGTAAATGAACTTGTAAAGCTCCTCGACAACCAAGAGTGTCACTGGCACCTCACATTCTGGGTTCTTTTGGAACTTTTTGCATGAAAATGGTTGTGGTCACGTGGCCTAGTGTCAACAGAGCACCATCAACTTGTTTTTCAAATGTAAAGGAAGGTCAGGTGGTACCTACTCTCGAAGGCTTTCCGATTCTCTATCCAACAACCCACTGGGCAAAACATCATGTCAGTTTCATTACGTTATGATATAGGGCACAGTGAAGTATCCAGTTCCTCCCAGTAACGTTTATTGTCCTTCAACATAACGAAAGACTTTTTAAGTTATAAAAAGTTCATCATATTAGAGTAACCTTTTTATGTTCCAATTATCATATCACGGTAGAGGCAATAAAAACGTTTCAGTATCATTATATTCGCTATCCAACAAGCAATTATTCACGAAATACATATTCTGAAAATCTAAAATGATCGTAGACAGAAACTAATAAGAGAAGTGAGGTTGAAATATCATTGTTAGTGTACATAATTCCCATTGATCCAAAACAACAATCACTCAGATCCATGACATCTATTCACTATTGCAAACATGCCTTAACCTGTCAGTTTACTAACGGGTAAATGAAAATCAGAAGAAGAACCAAACGGAAGCTTCATCTGCAGGCTACTATTATTTGAGGGATAACTAATCCAGGGATAAAATCGACAGTTTATGAAGTAACCCCGAGAGACAGGTCGTTTCGTTTCGCCAGTAGATATAATATCATTTTCCAGAGGTTCATGAGACCCCCTAGCATCCTCCTGCCTACAGGCCTTCTTTCTCTTACACCACCGTATGTTTTGAACGAAAATACTGGAACCAACTGAACCAACATGACTTTGGCAGGTACAAGCACGAGGACAGCAAATTCTCGTGCCACAAGAAGCTGACCGACAGATCGAGCTGCGAAGCTGTCCAGAAGTACTGCCCACACAAACTGGCCAGGCAGTTCGAGGACCCCCTCTGCGAGCTGGGACCCTGGTCGGAATGGTCTAGCTGCAGCGTCACGTGTGGCAAAGGGACAATGACGAGGGACAGGAAGTACAAGAACCGATTGGCCGCGAAGACTTGCGCCGCTGGGAAAGCTAAGAGTGGGATTCTCCAGCAGAATTTGGAGTGCTGGATCGAAGGAGAATGCGAAGATTCTGAGGAAAGGGTGAGTGCAGCGACGTAATCAAGAAGAAGGTCCATGGTCTTAGAAACCTCCTCCTAGAACTGTCGTGAAAGCGAAAGTATCTTCCTTCGAGATCATCTGCTATATTTCTCTAACGGTCACTTATGGGGCTATTGCTTGGTGACCGAAAAACTCACAGCTAGTATACAGAATTAGGCTTGTCTGGTGATCACTGTGCCATTATTACCACACCGTCGACAGCTATGGCAATTCTTCTAGACCTACCTCTTTGAGAGATAGGCTAAGAGGACTACACTGGATTGTGCTCATCGTGAATTGCACGAATCAGGCTTATACGGCTCATTCTGGTAGACATGGAAGGTCACATCACTCTGAGAATGACCTACAACATGATGCCACCACTATCAGCGTCCTCATTACGAATAGAGATGACTGGTTCCTCCGAAACGAGAAACTACTAAGAGCAGATAACTGTTGGTTCGCAGATAGTTGAAAAAATCCCTCAGGCTCTGGTATATCCACTAGCCTAGGATCCTTAGCAATCGTTCTCCAGGCACAAGTTCACGTCATCGATTCGTGTAGAGATATTGGAGGAATTAAGCCTCACACAAAATAATAGCCAAACGGCTCCGAAAGCACTTAGCTCGTACGGATGTCCCTATAATTAAGCAAAAACGAGTTTTTCGCCCTGCCAGTCTGTAGGTCCAGAATAGATAGATAGATTCGTTGAAAGATTGAACTGCCAAAAAATAATCGCCACAATAGAAATACTTGAAAATTGTCTCTGGTATGAATTCCTGGCTACATCGGAATGAAAGAAAATAAAATGGCATGTCCCTTGCAAGGGAGGGTGGCCGCTAGTGGTTTTATAGGACCAAAACCTGCCATCGGCAGCTCATTATGTTTTGCCAAAGAGTTGCAGCCTTCTGGCAGAATCTACCTGGATTGACTCATTCCAAGGCATTCATGTATTCATTTTTCCATGCCATTTATTGTTCCTTACAGATATAATGCATAACACCAAATTGATAGTGTAAAGTATTCCTTGACACTGGAAATAAAACGAGGAAAAAGAAAAAGAAAGCATTCTCAAGCTTGAACTTGGATAGTGTATTGCAACAGTGGTTAATCATATTGATGTTGCTCACCGAGAGTGAAAGAAAGAGTAACATCAAGTTGAGATATTGTTATTTGGTTCAATCTTTCCATTGCTTATGAAAGATTGTGGTCTAATCTTTTCTCTCGTGAATTGACGAATAATTTGTGCCTCGACCAGGATGATGTTGGTGAGAGTATCTCCCAGTGAGGTCATATTTTCTAGGAAGTGACAGTCAGGTTTTAGGAAGTTCAAGATGGTACATGTAAGAGATAAATGTTCCAATGTCTGGGGTAGTAATTGTAGGTAACGAAGCAATCATAGTTCAGTTAGGTCGACATAATAAATCCTCCAACGATGCCGTCTCTGTCTTGTAGATGATTGAACAGCAAAGCGTATACTTTGTGCCTGCGACCCGAATGAGGTTTTCGGTATTTGGCAGGTTTCACTCTCGCCTTCACGAAGTAAACTCATCGACTTTATCAGGAAGATGAATCGGCTTGGTGAAATCTTAATGAATTGGTGTGAGCCACAATAGAAGGGTCGCAGGTATAGACTCACTTACTTGAACCCAACCTATATTTTCTGATTCTTTTGTTGATTTCCAGATATCTGAAGACTGCCCAAAGAAACCTTGGAGCGACTGGTCACCATGTTCGGTGACTTGTGGAAGGGGTTACAAGGAGAGGTACAGACTTTCACTGGACCATAAAAGCGTAAGAACGAAATACTGGCCTCTTCACGATACTTACAAGAGCAAATCGATGGAGGAGTTCGACGAAGATGATCCTTGCAATAATTTCAAAACGAAGGAAACTGTTGAATGTTACGAGAACGAATGTCAGGAGAGACATCACCAAAACGGTGAATTAATTATCAGTTTATATATGATTTTATTCATGGAGAATATGTTTCTCAGAAATAGAGAAGATTACCTCTCTTTGATTGAGAAAAAATATATGAAATACATCTTCCTCTGATTCCAACGTGAAATAATGATTATTTTATATTGGTGACACTAAAAATGATGGAAAATAGAAGAATCATTTCTTAACTTATTCATCTTGAGGATATAATGGTCTTCTGCTCCATTTCTTCCCAGTTTCTGTGTTACCAACTAAAAAAAGCATTATTTCAACGACAAGGTCAGGAGGAATCGACATGTATTTTCTTTCTAATCCAGCTGACTTTCTCCATTTCATCCAGTTAATGCATGAATACTAGTTCTTATCATTTTTGTATTCGAAGTTCGAGTTTTTAGGGATATGATGTTCTCTCTCTATTCGTGAAAATGAATTGATTTCAGTGTCTATCATGGCATGTGGACTTCCGAAAGATCCAGGATCTTGCAAAAGCAACATGGATAAATGGTATTTCGATACATTGAAAGGACGGTGTGAAATATTCGCCTACAGTGGTTGTGCAGGCAATTTGAACAACTTCAATACTTTAGAGCAATGCCAAACTTTATGCTCCAAATATCAAAGTGAGTTTGTTTTGACTTCAATTTATATAAAGGTGAGTATAATAATGATAAAAATGTTGTCGTTTCAGTATCGTGGATGAGAAACATGTGAACCAGATACCATGATAAAATACTGGATAGTTTTTTAGTTACACCCCTTCAAAAAATCAACAGAATTAATAAAATTCCTGTATATAAAAGTTTGAATTCATGGTATATTCAGAAGCACCTTGATTAAACCTTCATCTACTATTGGCGTTCGCCCTATTCCCCTGTATAGCTTGGTAATTGTTTGAATGATCATCAAAATAATTGATTTTCTGTATATCTTTTGCATATAGAAGATGAGCTCATATCGATTTCTAAATGTTTAATTGACGAAAAATTACATAATCAATTCCACTTACGAACTGATGAATCATCTTGGAATAAATAGAATACATGTGAATTCACGTAGATTTTGAATGGTAAATCGAACAGAGAAGTTTCCAACAAACTATACATATATTCTTATTTGTTAAACTGTTGCACGATTTTTCTACATGTAGTACTGACGAATCCAATTTATAATTTTCAAATCCCAATCAAATTGTGTGAATACTCCAAATTATTTCTGTATAGGTATACGGATATATATATACCGGGTGGCTACGGAAGTATTGCCTACGGAATATCTCAGTTATTGTATGAAGTAGGTTTGTGAAATTTGAAGCGTCGTAATAATGACCGGAAGTAACATCAACTTTCTTATTTTAAATGGAAACCCTATTTTTTTTTCTTTTCGCTTTATTCAGCATTCAATTCCCTTTCTAATGACATATCACAAGTTGGTATCTGACCAGAAACTAGATCAGAGAAAAATTATTATTGAAATTCACCGAGTAGGCCGTGGAAGCAAAATGAAAGCCAAAAATTTAAAAATATCATCAGAGTCAATAAATGTATTGACGCTGAGGGAATGCATTTCGAACATTTGTTTTGAATTTATTTTATCTTTAATCCTATCAATTTGAATTTTTTTTTCGATAAATCTGTTTTTTTGTTATTTGAAGAATAATAATTGGATTTTTTGGTATTTCATTACAAAAAATGACTTTCTATTATATCATTAGAAAGGAATGGTTATGCTGAATAGTACAGGCAAGAGAAAAAGTTGTATGTTCCTATTTAAGTTATGGAACAACAGAGTATTGCTTTTTCCCAATTTCTCCAATATTTTTTCTGGTGGCTTTCCATAACGCCGACGAATGAAAATAAAATATCACAGTAGTAGCAACTGTTATCAAGTGACGTATGGTTTCCATAGCCAACTTTCCAATTTTTTGTTTTCATTTTGCTTCCACGGCCTACTCGGTGAATTTCAATAATAATTTTTTTCTGATCTAGTTTCTGGTTAGATACCAACTTGTGATATGTCATTAGAAAGGGAATTGAATGCTGAATAAAGCGAAAAGAAAAAAATAGGGTTTCCATTTGAAATAAGAAAGTTGATGTTACTTCCAGTCAGACTTCGACATGTCAATATGCTCAAAGTCTAGCTCTTATGTCATTATATCGACGCTCCAAATTTCACAAATTTCACAAACCTACTTCATACAATAACTGAGATATTCCGTAGGCAATACTTCCGTAGCCACCCTGTATACTAATTACCAAGTAGATGAACTACAACAGGAATATTTGGTCGAATTGGAGTGGACGGACATCCTGACCTTCATCAGAGAAGGACGGAAAGGTTCGACAAGGACAACTAAAATGTTGAGAGCAGGGGTTGGCAAAAAGGGCCCATGGGGACCTACTTGCCGGGCTACAGCCTCCTCACAATACTACTACTACTACTACTACTAATTCCCAATTCCAAATTGTTCAATCTTATTTTGGAAATTTTAATTCTCAGTTCGAATGTTTCGATTACCAATGTGAAAACATTCAATCCCAACTCGAGCATGCAAAATCATTGTATTTAGTACATGTACCAATTAATTTCCACCCATGAAGAGAGTTGATAACGGTGAAAACCATTTTGTTATAGAGGAAATGCTTGTTAACTCGACGATTCTGAAGAAAGAGCTAGGGATATCAGTTTCTGGTGTGCTGACGTACAATATTCAGAATGACGCAAACGGTAATAAATGTCGTAAAAGTATACAGATCAGCAATAGCATTTTGAAAGTTACTAAAGCAATAACATTTTTCCAGCCCAGCCATCTTCGACAAACATGGAATTGGACGATGGAGATGATTTTCGCCCACAAACTGACACACCGAAAGTTGACTGTGATGTATCTAAATGGAGTAACTGGGGATCGTGCATTGTACAATCTGGTGATTGTGGAATAGGGCACAAAGAAAAGTTTAGAGTAATATTGGTGAGTATGATGGGGATTTATCCGACGTTATAAACTATCGTCTATCAAAACGACAATTTAATTCTTATGAGAAAAAATCCATTAGCCGCTGTGATTTTGTGACATACCATACCGCCTTCTCTTCCAAGGCTCCAATACCAGCCAGGCATAACTTGGTAGATTTCAATGCAAACAAAACAAGAATGCATTTTCTCTAGAAAAGCCGATCCCACTGTGCCCAACATAAGCTTGTCAGGAGTAACCATACCTTTGAAGACATCCATTTCGATGCTTGACGTATCACTATCAGCAATAACCTTTCTTGGGAAAATCACATGAGATCAATTGCTTGAAGTGCTTCCCATAAAACATGGTTTTCTGTTTCAGACCATGCAGGAGCTTTTTCACTTCCAGTCAGCTGCTTATGATCTATTAGGCATAGATCCGACCTGTCCTGGAATACTTTTCCCATATTTGGAGTGCAGCACCCAAACATACCCTGAAACTGTTGGATTCTGTCCAAAAAGTATGCCTCGCTCACAAACTCATTCACTTCTCTGGAACACCGTAGAAAAGTTTGCGATCTGGCTCTATTTTATAGATATTTTCATGGACGATGCTCTTCTGAAATATCAACAATTGTTCCTCCCTTGGCAGTCCCCGCGAGATTAACCCGTCGAGTTGAGGCTTCGCACCCCTCCGTGGTCACTTTGGATACCTACAGAACATCTCTTTCCAAAGACTCGTTCATCCAACGAACAGCGAGGCTCTGGAACACATTACCAAGGGAGGTGTTTCCAGAGGCATATAACCTTCAGAAATTCAAGAATAACACCAATTCTCATGATGTTCTCTGAACATTACAGGATATCCATTTTCACGGTATCCTCTGTATTACAGCAGTCTTTTTTTTGCTTACTAAATTTTATCGGGCTTGCTCTACCAATACAGAAACCGGATTGACCCACACGTGACCAACCTTCCTTGTTTTTCAGCGATGAAATGTTGGACGTTTGAAACGTCAATCATGTTGGATTTTGACTGCAATATAATCAAACAATGAAATACTATTTTCTCTTGTATTTCCTATAGGTACCTATGCATTTTTTTTTTTAGTTTTTAGAATACAGTCACACGAGTTACATTGATAATAATTGATCTGATATGGATATGAATATTTGTCTACTTCTCCTACTTCTGGATGATTAGTTATTGACTCTTGAAGAAGACAATATACATCTGAAAATGAATAGAATTATTCTCTCACTCTGAGACCTTGGTTGAGATAATTCCCATTACTTTTACTTGCCTCCTTAATTAATTATTTCAATTATTTTGTTGTTCATATAAAAACTTGTTATAATATACTATGAAGTAATACAGATATGCTGAGCAGACCAAAAAGTTCGTATACTATTTGGTGAACAACATTTAATGACATTTCACATTGATGTTGACATCTTGTCATTTTTTCACTTGTGGCGTTAGGAATGACCCTTTTCCCCCCTTGCCGCACTATCGATCGAGGTAACCTTACTATATAAATTATTATTAGTTTTAACAACCTTGCTAGATCATCATGATGTATTATCTGGCCATATTATTGAGATTTGAAGCGCGTAAAAAGTGTTGAAAAGCAATATTCTCAGATATATTTATGAACATAAAAGAATGGATTTATATGCATAAAGAAATACATTGAGAATTCGCATTCTCCATGTGATGAAACTGATTAATTCTTTCTCGGTTTATTCAACAGAAAACAAATACTTTCCTGGCTATATTCCACGACGAACATTGAATTACATCTATAGAACACACACGATGAGAATATGGGACCAAATTCTTCTGAAGTAGAGAAATTGCATTCTCCTTCATATGAAGATATGCACGTAATATCATTCTACATATTCAACAGAAAACAACTACTTTCCTGGCTATTTGCCACGTCAAACATTCAATTATATCTGTTGAATATACAAAAAGAGATCATGAAAAATCAAAATCCTCTGAAATTGAGAATTGACATTATCTCTCAAATCGAATAGAATAATATGATGTATTATGGTATAAATATAACTTACCAATATGTTTTCTGTTGAATGAACCGAGGAAGAATCTATATTTTCATTAAATGGAGAATGCGAATTCCCGAAGTATTTCTTCATATACCGGGTGGCATTGAAATAAGTGCAAATATTTCAAACCCTAAGAAATCTCCACGAATTATTTCGAATAGCACCAATGAAAAAAATATAGGGATCGAAATAGAATTTGCGAATCTGCGATTGAGGCAGATTCGTGATTAGGTTTTCTCAATTCAGAATTTCTTGCCACGTCCTGTATGATGAATATCAATTTATCGTACATCCAAAATCGCGTAAAAAGTGTTGCAAAAACTAATTCAGGTCCCTCACGACACAGTGATGGCGTAATCGAATGTCAATTATTCACTATACATAGACTGAATTATTTTCAGAGGCTGCCAAAGAATGGTGGACATCCTTGTCCTCAGGTACTGCTCAAACGAAAAAAATGCAGGATCTCCTGCAAAGCGCAAACGAATGAAGCCAGCGACTTCAAAGATAACAAGATAGATACCAGTTGCATCATGTCCTCATGGTTTCCATGGTCAGCATGCGGAGAGAAGTGTGAAATGAAATATCAGTACCGGATCCGCTATGCAGTAGCAACACCAGGATCTGAAGAATACGAGTGTGAGGATGAAGTACAAAGGAGACGATGTGATTGTGGTTGAATTATAACTTTTTCATTGACTTTCAAGGATGCGTTCGAATACGAACTCTGTGGAGTAGAGTTTACTCATTTGCCATAAAAATGTGTTAGATTGTGTAGGTATATTGTACTCTGCGACTGTCGTTCGTTAAACTGGAGTTTTTATTGTCGAGTTAACTATTGGCAAACGAAGGATGAAGAAGTTTGTTATGCTTGTTTCATGTTAGGTTAGGTCCATTTGAAACGAATTTCATGATTGTTTTTATACCCTCAAAGCAGTCAAATTTGTTAAGTACTTCTTAACATCATATTTTGATGCAGAAAAACAAAGTGAGACACTGATGAGTTTATGTTGTGTGTACTGTTTTGTTCTGATAACAAAATATGCAATATTCAATTCAATCATATATGTATACATTTACGTTTATTGCATATATGCTTCATAGTATAGTATTTATATATACAAGATCTTTTATGAATTAAACCTGAACTGACTGAACTGAACTCGACAACTTGACAAACATGTTCCTGTCAATATCCCAGATGTCAATGAACTAACTCGAATTTTTTTTTCGAATACCTCGAAGGAAAGTAATAATTCAGAGTAAACTGATGAAATCTTCAACTGAGTTCGCTCTACTCTGAGAGTCATCAATCGAACGCACCCCAATGCATCAATGCTATAGAATAGCATATCAGATGAAGCTGTTCGAGTTTGTAGTGTGAACATATTTGATAAATTTCATCTATTTTAGTTCTTACCTACGTACCAGAAGGAAAATAAACACCATATTGTAATAAATCTTCAGTTCGAAAGTTTTATTCCTCTTATTCCTTATGGAACTATTCTAGATCTGATTTCGTTGGGAGAAAATTGGAACCCTGTTGATATTTTCACGCCATTCGATCGAGTGAGAAATTTTCTTTTCAATGACATGTCATAATTGGGCATTTGTTCTCAAAATGGCGGCGGACATTTATTTTCTCCTAGAATCAATATTACTACACGTCATCATCGATGAAATATTGCTCAAGCAAGCTGATGAAATTGCAAATAAATGGAACACTTATACATTACAACATTATATTTTGATAATATATGCAAACATTCTGATTTAACGCCAATCAGGATTTCTTTTATTGATTCTTTCAAATGACCTTTCTCTTGAATTTTCACTTGTAATTCCACTCGTCTCTACGACTCGGAATGATTTTCGAAATATCCATGAGCTCGAAAAAATTTCCGGAAATAATTTAATCTCGTGTGGTATTTGGTAAGGAAATTCCACACCATATTGTGTTTGAGAATTGATTAATTCTAGTATTTATTCACATAATTGATTTCATACAGTTTCCGTACCAATAATAGTTTCCTAGCTCAAAAATTCCTAATTTCTGCCCATTGTTGTTGCAGGAAAATACAATTTCAGAATGTCACAAATTATACTCTTGCATTTTATATCAAAAACTCTAATTGAATTTGCTCAAGTAATACAAATTTTCCTATTCGCGAGATTCACGAATTGGGCCACATCTAGGTTACATAATACCCCTAACAACACGGGATCTTGCTGGTACATCCCGCTAAGGTCCTACAAATGTCCCAATGTTTCAGACTTAGGTACGATATCCCAGAGATGTTTCTCTTGGGACATACATCAGATGTTTTCATTGGATGGTCTAGAAACATCCCATTTGATCTTTTTTATAAACAATATCATGGTTCCATATTCGCTAATGATGATTGACATGATTGAATATATAGTTCAAACAATTGTGACAATTGAAACATTGAAGAGTTGGTAAAAAATGGAAATCAAAACTATATTCGTACTTATATATACTTATACCTATACCAAAGCCGGCTAATTTCATCGATAACAAATTTAAATAATTATACTAAATATTCCTCAATATAGGATTACCAAAGTACCTGTTTAACATCATGAACCATGTAATAAACGACAAAATTGAAATATAGATCTCCAGCATATTTATTGCTGAATTCATTTGTTATACCAGCCGATAGATGGCGGTACAACTACGTTGCTAAGAGTTACTAACAGTCGTCGGCCCAGCGCCAACAAATATGAGCCTGAAACAACTGTTATCATCTTCCATTAGATATTGGACCGCACCGACCTTATATTTTCAGATTCGGATTGTAACTTTAAATCTGGAAATAGGTCGTCCATTTTCAGGATTTCAGATTGAAAATAATTCATACCGTGTCATCCATTACTGTCATCAAACAAAAAACATCCTAGAAGTTTCTTTAACATGTTCCATATCAAGTACCCTGAATGTCTCTGGTACATCCCGTATCATCCCACAAACATTCTGATGGGATGTTTATAAGACATCGCAAATGCTGACAAGGGTGTTGCCAGCAACATCCCAAGAATGTCCCAAGGAAAATAGGGATTCTCCAGAGATGTTCCTATCATCCCATATGGATGTTTCTACGACGTCTTACAGATGTTATTGTGTTATTAGTGACGAACTTCAAACTGGGGGAAAACAAACTGTTGTCTATGGATGAAGTGCATAGACTACATTGCATTCAGCTTGCTGTAGCTGTAGTCAAACTTGTCAAAGACATAAAGCGTTGGCACTGTTGATAGTGATGATGGTTGAGTTGGTTAATTTTTTCACATTATTACATTTTTATTAGTTTAGTGAACAGTGAACGGTTGAAGAATTGGAGATAGTTCAAACAATTCAAACTAATTATGACGAGCAAATCAATGTTTACAATACCCAGATTGTCCTGCTTTGCATAAACAAATACAAATCCTTTGTTCTACAGGAGTTCCTCTGGACCCCAACTTCAATATTACTTCATGTGGGGAAAATTTCATTTCTGAAGTTTGTAGACAAAGTGCAAAAATGTGCCTTTTGTTGAAGTCTTCTGCCTCACACAAAATCACATGATTAGCACAGAGAACTGCTTCTCTTTCCACTACTGGTCGCCTTTTTCCATATAAATAGAGCAAAATATTTGCAAAAAAATATCTACAACAGCAGGCATTATCATCGTTTCCGATCGAATATTGACATCTATAACGTCAAGAAATTCAAAAACTTATCACTCTTATCAGTACACAGTACACAAGCTAATGGCACTAATGGGATTGAGTGAGGATTGAGTTTGTTTTCTTCCAGTTTTGACGTGGCTTTGACATGGAACAATGAAAAAAGAGCGCCACCTGGTGACATTGATTCCCGCGAATAATTGATAAAATAAACATTTCTCTATTCAACATTCACTACACTTCATTCTACATACCCTGTTGAATTTAATATTGCCTATTACTACTCCTCCACTAGTTTTGGAGTTTTGGACAAAAGTGTGCGAGGTACTCACGACGACTCGAAATTGTTCAAGGAATATGCCCTTATAGGCTATGGGAATCGAGTCACTGGACATCCTGTATAAATTTCGTAATGAGGGTGACACTGTTTAGAGAGTACATATTATCATAGTGCCAAGATCAAGCTAATGAATCTATTTTGGGAAAACCAATTTCGGCTTATTGGAACTACGACAATTTCCTTATAAAATAAATCGGATACATTGTTCTGATGTTCAGTGTGAAGAAAGTATTGCAGAAGGTAAAATGACCTCTCATGAGACAATCAGGGTTGTTTTCTTGGGTTTCTTAGTGCTTGTGAATTGTATAGGTAAGTCATCCCTTCAAGTAATTCGAATCTATCATGTTCAGAACTCTGCAATTATTTTTAGAATCACAAGCACTTCTCGACAGATCCAGGAATGATTGGGAAATTGTGGAAAGAGGTAAGCGAGGATACGAGGTGTTTCGAAATTAAAAAATATTCTACCAGCAATAGGGTATACGCGTGTGAAAATTTTACACTGGAATATATTTTCGTTCCATTACTCATATGTATAGATGTCGAATTATACATCCGAAAAACATTATTAAGCACCGAATATTTAATAATTTCTGATTGAAAATCATAATATTTGCAACTTTCCGACCAACAGCCGAACTGCAGCGATGATTTCCGACTGGATGTGGCTGTTTTTATTTGTCATGTCAAACATTCATGTCCGAAAGATTGAAAATAATATAAGAAGAGAAAGTGAGGTTATGATTAGCTATAAGAATGATCAAACAGGACTTCTTTTTGCATGTTATTTCAAATATATATTACCACCTATCCATTTATATCTCATATAGTTCTCCATATCTTCTTCAAACTGAAAACGAAATCACATATTATATTATTCTCCTAATAACATGAGGAACATAATCATTGATATATTATAATGGGTTTCACTAGGACATACTTGAACGTATAAGTACTCACTTCGAAATGGTTTTCACAAACAAATCCTCTGATGGTTTTTTGGATAAATAATTTCTATTTATGGCTTGCAACCATAATTTTCTTTTCTCTTTATTTTTATCACTCGATCCCACTTGCAATGAAAGGAATATTTTTCCTGGTGATACTTTTGTTGATGAAAGGCATTGCGGCACTAAACAGTATTTGGTATAAACATTATCATTTTCCATTTTCCAAATTTCAAATTTCTGGCGTTTAAAACTGTTTTCTTCTCATACCTCTTCTTCTTCTTTTTTTTTTCAATCTGAATCTTGTCATTCTGTTGCGCTAGTCTATGGCTGTGCGGCCTAATACCATGACGTCATAATATTAGTGATGGCCACTAACCCGTTCTCCTGTGACTTCATATTTAGCCTCATTTGAATGAAATTTTTTAGAGTCACAAGCAAATTTGAGATCAATGAATGATATCTAATGTTATTATAAGGAAGAAGGAATATAATTTCGATTAAACAAAAAATCATGCGTATTCCTTATTCAAAGAACTCATGTCATGCATGTATACCTACATCGGTTGTAGCATATGGTATTATCTAAATATTCCTGGAGAGCTTCGTGAAGAAGAGGTAATAAAAACTCAGCTACTTATGCGGAATATCATAGGGTGATAAAAATAATTGTATACAGAGTGATTAATTCAAAGAACTTCACAAACGGTAAGATTTTCACAAAAATCGTATTCGGCTTCGCTAAACGCTCCGCCTCGCAAATGCAAAATTTGCTTGTCAAACAAAGTGTAACTTTTGATCCTAATAAAACAATCTACTATTATTCTTGATGATCTAGTACATCCTCATCAGTTCTTAGGAGCTAAAGTTCAACTTACGCAAAAAATTTCTATAACGAAGAACTAATGAGGGACAGTCCTGTCATCAGAGCATTCAAATGTCATGCAAGCAACTATTTGTTCAGAAATGAATGGTTATATAATTTCAAACATTATATTCTATGAATTTCAATTTTCTCAATTACCGTTCGTGTTGTCAAAGTTCAGTTAATTTATGTAAGGATCCGTTGAAATGAAACAATTGGAAACGCTGCATTGAATAATTCATTGAAATTCCAAAAACCTCCTTCATCATTGTTCAACAACGAATCATCAGAAATGAGCG